GCTTAAACCGAAGCTTAATCTGGGCTCTGTGCGGAGAAGATGAGCTTCTGTTAACCTCGCCATCTGGATAACTAAACTTGAGCACCAAGATCCGATGGACGGGAAGTCCCCACAGAAACAACATATCTGCGTAATGTTCTCTATAAAGCCGAATCTTCTCACAATCTTGTGAATCGAGCAAGCTTCGAGAATGTCGTGTTTCAAAAAGATCCAAATCATCAACGTTGCACATTTCTATGGTTACCTCTGAGTTCTCTTCTAATTCCCGATTGATGTGTTCGTTCTGGTTGTCGAATTTGTCTACCTTGTGGTGACTTTTACGTCCATCTTCTCTTGCTTTGGAATCATCAAAAAGGTTGAGACCTTGACCTGCCCTTCTCATTGTGCTTGCTTCAGAGAAACTTTCTCTATAGCTACTTCCAACAGAAGAATTGATAGACCTCTCGTAATGGCGTGGACTAGAGTAGTCACTAAAGGGAATTGGGGTGCTTATTACTGGAGTCGTCATGTAGCTACCATTTTCAGCCATACGACGCTCCACTGAGCTTCCCTCCAACGGAGACTGTCTTACCATAGGAGTGGAAGATAATGATCTGCGCTTGGCAATTTGAGGAGTATGTCCTGGATCATAATTGGAAATGTAATTTGGACGCTCGAATAAGACACACGACATGGTCACTAACATTTGAATAGATCCTCTTCTCTCAAAGTATTCAAATATGTCCTTGATAAGACCACTGTGACCGAATGGGTGATTTCCCCAATAGAAATTTCGTTGTTTGCTGAGAGAACTTTGCATAAACTGGCTTTCCATGACACCGTTAGTGCTAGAAGCATTCAGCAAAAGAATTGACAAAACATTCCAAACTTCAGCCAATTCTGAATAACCACAAGACGCAGCTACATCACCATTATACTTGGCAAGGACATCTGGTCGATCTCCCAGAATCCTATACTTGCACGCAAGTTCGTACTTGTCAGGAAGAAGATGGCTGAAATCAAATATCCCGACTATATTGGTACTTTTCTTGCTCTTCTTCGATTTTTTGGCAGACGGGGTAACAATGCTATCATGCAACGAGGTTTTATTCACCGAGCCATCTCCTTGACTTGTGAACCGCTTGAGCGAGCTTTTCTGCTCTGCTACGTACCTGTTGCCCAAGCCTAACGAGGTTTGAAAAAGCCCTGGGATCCTTGCATTATTTCTTCTTTCATCCTCCATGATATCGTTCCAGTCTTGAGAAAAACTATCATCAGAAGTTTCCGAGCTGTCGTCCGCTTCCTTGTCCAGAATACCAATGGGTCCTTCAGAGTCCAGCTCTCCATCGCTAGACAGAATTTCTTCACTTGACTGTGCTTCGAGGTGAATAGTCTGCCCTTTGCTCTCATGGTGCCTGTTCTTTACACTCAATTCACCATCGGCAAATTTGAAGATATTGAACTTCTGGAAGTTTTTGCTTTCGTCATCGTCCGTACGCTTGGGTACGAAGAAGCACACTAGTTGGCCCGTGTGAGACAAAGAGCTCCGCACCCTTTTTGGCATCGGTGTTGAGTCGTAAAATTTGTTGTTC